AAAGCGGGATATGTTGACTTAAAAAAAACTTCGTTCTTAACAAAGTTTAACTATTCAAGAATATGTCTACAAGCGGATTTTTCAAAATGCAAATTATTTTCGGAGATATAGGTATTGTGAGTGAAATACAAAATTTTATTTAAAATTGTGTCCTTTTGATTTCACACAAGCCCTCAAACGATTCAGCCATTGATCAATAGCAGCACAGTTTCTATTCGTATTGACGATGCTGTTTGGACCAAACATTTTTGAGACTTCCCAAAATTCGGTTAATAACCCAAATAAGGCCATGTTATCCAACTTTGACCACAAACTGTAGTCTAATGGATTCAAATCTGCTCTTCCAGATGGCCAATCATATGCAGCTATAAAAATGTATGGCAAGGCTAAGTAGCTACAACAGATGTTTTTTGTATCTTACAGCAGAAACTCTTCCGCGATCTCCGTTACCTCATACTGTGTGGTGCGCATTGGGATCATCGACTACCATTCGGATATTTTCGTCTTATTATCGCGCGAGGTATGAGCACCTTCGCTTTTGGAATAGTCGGGACACAGTGTCGGTCCATTGTCTTCTAGAGGGCTCCCTTCTGCAGGCCTTGAGCCTTCATAACTCTTTCCTTTATTTATAGCAGAGGGGTCGTCATAACATTTTAGGACTTTGGCCCCATTCTTCATATGTAGGTATGCCCGGGTCATCACAGACTTTTGCGTAGAGCGTTTCCAGCGGCTTCAGTTCCCCTTTACGTTGCTTCTGAGTCTGCCACAGAGGATTACTGCGATCAGTGAGCGCTACGATCAAGTGTCCCCTGGCTATCGCGCTGCCCGTTAGGGGTTTCTCTCGAGATATTGATGTTTGGCCTTATAGCGTCCTCCCTTTGCTACGGTCATTTAACTGTCCACGCTGTTTCGCTTTCAGTGAGCAGCTGCCTTTTGACCGCAATTCTCTCCTCGATCCGGTTTATGTATATCTGATCCGCAGACTTGAATTGCGGTCCCGACGCATAGTACGATTGGCCTTCCTCCTGTTTGACTTGCAGTTAAGTTTTTCATGGACCTTAACCACCGCTTTCTATACCTGCAATATCCTCTTGCTAAGTTTTGCCCTAAGCCTAGTCTTTTTCGTTGAACCAGCACCCTTCGAATTCCCCAAAGAGCGGGGCAAAGTTTCCTCTTCGATAATGTTAACCCTTTCGTGGTCAGAGTGTTCACAACAGAGGTATGGCAAAGGAAGTAAATTCACTGTGTCCACCGGTGGTAGCATATTTATATTATATTTTTAGAGAAAATCTAACCCTAGCCTTTTATGGTGTTAAATTCCAATGGAGGATTTCCCGAAGGCTTTTCGTATCCGCAGCACATCAGTTTTGGTCCAAACATTTTTTTCATTGTAATCCAACATAAATCACAAATAATCAAAATCACAAAAAAAATAATTTATTCACCCTTAGCTGAATTGAATTGTTTTCATTTTTTGTTTTAAACTGTTCCGCTGTTTGATTACACTGCTCTAGTTTGACTGATACAGATACTTCTTGAAATATCGTTACTCGGCTTACTGGAATTAATTTTAAGGGCATTAAGGAGAACGCTTCTAGCTGGATATTCGCCCTATGCTTCGTTGGAATGCAAATATGATGGCTGATTACTATTGAAGCATTCAAAACAAGACTGATGTTTCTACTTATGCAAGAAAAGCATATAACAGAAAGCTTTTTTAATGTTAAGTAAGAGCAATATATTTTTTAATTCTAAAATGATACTTGTAGTATATTATTTTGGATGTATCATGTTCATATTTCGAACAATAGAGCTGCTAGAGAAAAACTGACTACATATTTGGAATTAGCGTGGCAAAATCATACAAAATCGGGTAAGAAACTTCATAAAACAAAACTACTGTTTTCAAGTGGTATTAGTTTGGTTGTTCAAGTTGTTATCGGGAAAATATCTCTCTTTCTTTTAATAAAATACCTGACGGATTGCCCAATATTTCCTATAAAATTAGGCCATAGACCCTGGGGTCCAAATGTACGGTATCTGGGGCTTGAAATGGTATGTAACCTTTTCGACAATTTATTACCAGTATTAGCAAAATTTTATTCTGATAACTTTATTTGTGCTTAACTTACTCATATACAATATAGTAGAATAATCATATGAAATTTTGCTTGGTTTGTCGATTTCGCCCATTTTCACTATGTAACATAAGAATGTCAGGATAATATTATGTACCAAATTTGCTGAAATTGGTTGAGTAGTTGCTAAGATATAGATTGCGGTGCCACGCCTATTGCATAATTTTTGCGCCGATTTATGGGATGCCATCACCATCTCTGCTACAAATTTCCATCCTTGTTACGTATGTATTTACTTGGTAAATTACCGCACCATCACCACCATTAGCAGCCAATTTTATCCATTTTCACAGTGTCCAAGGAGGTGCTAGAAGGATTTGTCCTAAGTATGTTTGTTTGATATAGTTTAATTGTTTGTGTGATATGTACATTAAACCTTTTTGAAAATTTTCAAACCACTATTATACTCTCTTGCAAGAAGTTGCAAAATTAGTCCGGGAAATAGTAAATGATTAGTCATCCCATTTTATGGATCATACAGAAGTTTGTTAACGTAGAACGTAGGCTGCAAGCAACTTCATAATCTATAAAACTTCAAAATGCCGCCATCATCGAAACCAATTAACACTCTTGAAAGATTTACACGAAATAAATAATTTAATGGAAAGACGGAATGCGAACAAAGTGATGAGTTTAGAAAAGCCATCTCGTTGTACGAAAACAAATTTAGAGTATATTCAAAATCAAATTTTTTTGCTTTTTCAGCTTTACATGGTCTAGCTTAGAATTCGAGAGACAGATATTTTAATTTATGAAAACATTTATTTATATACACTAATTTTTCTGTCTGTGCACCAAGTATCAATAAAAATAAATCGTTAAAAAAACTAATTTTATATACTTTTTATAAAAACCAATTTATTTGATATTTATTAAAGGCTAATAAATATGTAGTTGTATGAAAATAAAAGTGATAAAATTTCTGACAATAACATATAAACAAAACAAAAGATCCCGAGGAATAAAAAATCCATTAGAAAAGTTCTACATACAGGGTATATAAGTCGAGTAAAGATATTCTTCCACAATTCTTCTCAAAATTTAGTAGAAAGTCGGATACCCCCAACGTTTGAAAACGTCGAAAGGATGTCAATCCATTCCTCGTTCAGCACATCCCTAAGCATATCCTTTAAGGTAATAGTGCATTGGTAGATTTTACGTTCCCGTGAATCTCATAGGTGCTTCTTAGGATAAAAATCTGGTGATTCTGGTGGAGTTTGAAGCTGGTTGGGCACGTTGTAGAGTAATCAAAGCTTACCTATATCTACGCTGTACGCTTTGGATCGTTATCCTGGAGAATAGTAGTCGATTCGAAGACCCAATTATTCCGCTCTTTGCTTCAAATTTATGTTTAAGATATTAAGATATGTATATTTAACCATGGTGGACTCTATAAATTTCACTTGGCCCACTCCATTACTAACTATGCGCTCCCATATTATGCCTTTTCACCGTTCTTCACAGTATATATCAAGATTTCCTTACCAAGTGCCTTGCTTGTTTTTCGTTATGAAATTTTACAGTGTTTGAAAACTTGTTTTCGTTAGACAGAATAACCTTCTACCAAAACTTCCGGAGCTTCTTCAAGCGCTCTTTCGCGAAAGCATTATGCACTTGCCTATTGACTGACGATATGAATGACTTCATTTGTGCGACCTGACCATTAAGCCCTGCTTTTTTATAATTTAGCGAATCGTGTCAGTACAGAGGAATTCCTCAACGTTTTCTTAAAGTTTTGTTGCAGTAAGTCAAGGGTTTTGCTTCATATTTTCTGCCACATGGTTACGTGTTTCATGCTAGTATTTTTGGATGCCCTGGACGGGCCGAGATATAACGAAGCCGGTATTTTTGTAATTTTTTATTATTCTTTTTATTGAAGTATGTGTTCTTCCAACAATTCGACCGATTTCACCGTATGTTTTTCCTTCTTCCAAAAGTTTAATCATTATTTCCCTTTCAGAAGATCCCTTTGTTTTCTTTTAGGCGAGATTCGATGTTCTAAATTTAATAACAAACTGAATAAAACAAAAATCGTTTAAAATTGCTACTTTTACGAAAATAAATAAAACTATAACTTTCCGACACTTTTACTCTTATTGCTACGCGAAGAATTTCAATTTTACTACTTGTATCGATAAAATTATGGTATACGATTTTAAATGCTTTGTTTTAAATTTTATGGGAATACGCAATAGTCTAATGATAAACACCAAATGTGATTTTATTCTAAAATTTAGTATATAAAAGATATTTTTTAAGAAAAGAAAATAAAACATAAGCGTGTACGCAGAGTTTTTCTGCCAAGTGTATATACTTATAAAAATATATTGATACCAATCCATGAATATTTTTTTGTCAGGACTTTGTGATCAGCTGCTTTAATTTGATTGCCAAGTTGACGCACGACTTGATTGGAAAAATTGATATCAAGGCGGCGTTCAAGTTCGATTCGTAACGTCCGGATTATGAATTTTTTTGATAGTTACAAACATTGGATACCCTAACAATTGAAAATTTTTTATTAGAAGATTAATTTCTTGCTATATTTGGAGTATGGGGTATATATAGTTTACCACGATTTGTAATGTTAAAGACAGACATATCGTTTCGATACTACAATGTGTACTACAATAAAAGCTCAAGAAACCATGTACGAGCATAGTGACATATTCTATAAGTTCCGACACTCTTCAGCTGATACAAAAAATTTAAATCAACTAAAAGTAAATAAATCTATAACCAGAAAATGAAACCAAATGAGGCCAAGTCTTAAAATATTTGATTACCACCTGATGAGAAAAAGGAAATATTATACACTATCTGTACGGGCATTAAAAAGAACCAAGCAATATAAAAAATTGATTTCAAGATAAAGGCTTTGCAACAACTTTGTTACAATAGTTTTTGATTTTTTCGTTTATTTTGATTTAATTTTTTTTTTTTTTTTACATGTCAAGATAATAAAAAACGTATTATTTTGGCAGAAGAGCTTAAATATAGTACATTATGTCTGTCTTAGGCACCCAGAAGGAACCGTCGAAAACCCTATAAAATGTATATATTGATGGTCAGCGTGTCGAGTTGAGTTTATTTAGCCATGTTCGTCTGTCGTTCATATCAGACAACTATAACATAGCATATAGCTGGCATACAAACTGTATGATTAAAATTAAGTTCTTGTTTGAAAAACTTTTTTAATTTGACGAGATATCTTCAAGATTGTTTGGCATGGATTATTGTCCACGGCAACTCTACAATATATGGGGAAATTTTCCAGATCGGACCACTATATCATCTACCATAGCTGCCATACAAGCAGAACGATTAAAATCAAGGTCTTGTATTGAAACTTCTTTATTCATGAAAGGTTAATTTTGCTAAGATATCTTGCATATTGACCAATATATACGATATAAAGTCAACCGGAAATTTGAAAATTGTTCATTAGGTATAGGGTAGAATTGACCCTATTTTACCAGGTTTTGCAATACCACATATTGTTAACAGAAAAACATGCTTCCTAAGTTTCATTAAGGTACCTCACATACCATGACCAATATATGGTATATGGAGTAGTCACCGGTCGTTTCAATATACTGATATTGGTTTTGGTATATGGGGGCTAGTTTTCACCCGATTTTATCCATTTTAAACAACCGTTATCAGAGAAACACGCTCTATAAATTTCATAAAGATAACTCATGTATTGGCCGATATATGCAATATAAAGTCAGCCGGAAGTTCGAAGATCTATACTTTAGGTATATAGGGCCTAGGAGAAATATTGTCCCGATTCAACCGTTTTTGGACATGCAATCATACTATTATCGGAAAAGGATTCTCCCGGATTTCAATAATATATCTCATACTTTTACCGGTATTTTCGGTCAAAAATTCGCAAAAGCACAGGGTACGTGTCTCCAATACGTCCACGTATCCTAGGGGCTTTAAGAGTTTTGGTCCGATTTTGACGAGTTTTAGAAGATGACATACCTTAAAGATACTATTTGGACAAAGTTACATCTCGATATATTCTTTGCTGCTTGAATTGTATACGGAAAATTGAGAGAATCAAATGAAATTAAAAACTGTTTTATATGGAAATTAGGTGCAGTTGTATTTCACACAGTGACATAGGAATTTCTGGATAATGTCACCTACCAAATTTGGTTGAAATTGGTCCAGTATTTCAGTAGATATGTAATTTCAGCTAAATGTGGGCGGTGGCACGCCCATTGTCCAATTTTAACAACAATGTCCTTATTTATCATCCCGGGTGTAAAATTTGAGGCCTCTGATGCATTTATTTGGTCCGATTACGCCCATGTACAATACCGAACTTCTTATTGTACCAGGTTTTATCAAGATATTTATATTTAGGTGACACAAACCACAGTCAGGTGAACAAAACTATTATACTCTGTGGCAACATGTTGCAAGAGTTTAAAAATTATAATAATTTAGTTGTTTAACTACGGTTATCCGGCATATGTTTTCTATTGTCATTATAAGCCACAATTTAATGGAGCATGGTTCTCTTGATTAATTCAGAATTAATTTAAAATGCGGGGTAATGTTTTCCTGCACCATATCATATTTTAATAAAGCACTTAATATTATATATTATTATGTTAGAGATTTACAACATCAACATTTATAGTTTTTCGGATAAAAGTAAGAATATCAGCAGACTCTTCTATCCTCTTAGAAGTCGGTTTACCAGCACCGTGACCAGCTTTACTATAGACACGTAGAAGAATTGGATTTTCTTGAGCAGAATTTCGTACTGCATCTTGTAGAGATGCTGCAAATTTTAACGAATGTAATGGGCTGACACGGTCATCATGATCTGCTGTAAGAATTAAGGTAGAAGGATATTCTTCACACTTTTTATTTGGAACGTGAACATTGTGCAGAGGCGAATATTTCAACAAATTTTCGAAATGTTCCTTTTCATTAGGGTCCCCATAATCAGAGCACCAAGCATGCCCAATAGTAAATTTATGGAAACGCAACATATCCATGACACTGTTTAGAACACAAATTTTTTTTTATTTTAACTCAGCTTTCTTACTCAATTATCTTACCCAACTTGCGCGACAGCTGCGCCAAAGAGATCGGGTCGTTGATTAATACAGGCACCAACTAACAGTCCTCCATTTGATCCTCCCTGTATCACCAGACGATATTTAGTTGTGTAATTATTACTAATTAAATATTCGGCTGATGCTTGGAAATCATCAAAAACATTTTGTTTGTTCAAAAGTCGGCCTGCGTTGTGCCATTTTTCGCCGTATTCACCTCCTCCACGTAAATTCGGGTATGCTAATATGCCATCGAATGTATCCATGAACATTAATCCTGTGGCAGAAAAAGAGGGTTGTAGGCTTATATTGAAGCCACCATAACCATAGAGGAGACACGGTTGAGGCGATATAATTTCCTTCTTTTTGCGTATTATAAACATAGGTATTTTTGTCCCATCCTTACTATTATAAAATATTTGTTTTATTTCATAGTCATATTGGCTGAACCCATCCAGTTGTAATTTAATTTCGCGGAATATTTGTAATTCTTTATTCGGTAACCCGAAATCATATTGATAAATAGTCCCAGGATTCAAAAATGATGAGAAATTAAAAAAAATTTCAGAATATTTTTTCTTGCCAGATACTGCTACAACAGCTCCAATATCCAAAGGAAACTTTTTAACTAACTTTCCAGTTTCAATACAATTTGCTTGAAGGACACTCTGAAAAATAAAAATGCATGATTAAAGAAAAGTATATATATTAAATTAATTCAAGAATTAAAGAAATTATAAAAAAATTAATTTCTCATTTAATTAATGTTTGATTTAAAACTGTGTACAAATATTGAAAAAGTGCATCAGCGATTCCTTACAAAATTTGTACAACCAAAGAACTTGACTGTTGTTTATGATCGAATATTATCAACAAATATAATTTCCAAAACAAATAGGAAATAGCTATGTTCGGATACCATTCGTATGCATTTAATAAATCACGTTTTCACTATCCAATGTGTAGGTAGCGTTCTTTGGAAAACAAATTTTGTAATTATATAAAATACATTGTTTTAATATAGTTGACATTTATACAACACTATTAAAGCAAAAGTTGACTCATCTATAAATATTACATTGCTCTAATCACGGATGATGTTTTTCTGCGCCTAATTCAACCTTTATTCAAGGTGTGTATTTGAAAAATGGGGTTTGATTACAGTTCTGTTGTGTTTGTTTTCAGATCTCTGAAGTCATATTTATAGATACAGTAAAGATTCAGCATAACGCGTAGGAAACGTTCCATCAAACTAGAGTATGCGAAACAGCGCTAACGAGGCTATCTTAACAGTGTGGGATGTCCACAATAATGTTCGATTATTTACTTTCCAAAAATGATATAATGTGATTACATACAAAAATAGTGGGAAAACTTTAGTATAACGCTCCACGCTTTCGGGATAAAATGGGTATGGGCGGAAGAGGAGATCCTCCAGATCAAGAATATATATAGATATAGCCGCGGGAAACTTATAGTTTTCGAGATATTTGGGTTTAAAGTTCAAAATATCGACTGGTATACTCGTTTGAGATTTCTTTGTGGATTGACTGATATTTTCGGTAGAAGGTCAACTATAGGCACTGGGCCCACATATTTAGTACTTAGAGGCTTGAACAGTTTTGGTTCGATTTAGACAATTTTGGCCGCAAGGTGGCATACTTTAATTGCATTATTCACGCAAAGTTTTACCCGATATAATCATTTACCTGATTTGCATAGTAGAAAGTGAAAGAATCAGATGGAATGAAAATGGTGTCACATGGAAGTAAGCGTGGTTGTAGTCCGATTTCACCATTTTCGCACTATGACATAGAAACATGAGAGAAACGTTATGCACCGAATTTGGTTGAAATCGGTTGAGCAGATCTCAAGATATGGGTTTTCACCTAAAGTGGGCTGTCCACGCCCACTGTCTAATTTTGAACGCGGTTCCTATAAAGTCATCTATACCATCTCAGAGATAAAATTTAATGTCTCTGGCGTGTTTAGTGCTTGATTTATCGCGCTTTTAGTAGTTTTTAACAGTACCGTTATATGGGGAGTGGGCGGAGTTGCCACCCGATTTCAACTATTTTCACACCGTCAATAGAAGTGCTAAAAACATTTGCTTCTAGTGAATTTTGTTATTATAGCATAAGCGGTTTAAGAGATATGCACATTAAACCTATTAGAGGCGGGACCACGCCCACTTTTTAAAAAAAGTTTTAACTGCAGATGCCCCTCCCTAATGTGATCCTGTGTACCAAATAACAGTCTTGTATCTTATTGCGGAGCTTAGTTATGGCAAGTTATTTGTTTTTGATTAATGGCGTTTTGTGGGCGTGGCAGTGGTCCGATTACGCCCATCTGCAATACCAACCATCTTACGGTACCAAGAAACATGTCTACCAAGTTTCATAAAGATATCTAAATTTTTACTCAAGTTAGAGCTTGCACGGACGGACGGACGGACAGACGGACGGACGGAGACAGTCACCCGGATTTCAACTCGTCTCTTCATCCTGATCATTTATATATATATAACCCTATATCTACCTCGATTAGTTTTAGGTGATACAAACAACCGTTAGGTGAACAAAACTATTATACTCTGTAGCAACAGGTTGCGAGAGTATAATGATTAATGAGGTAAATTTGTTGCTAACATCTCTCGCTGCTGAAGTTACTTCACTGAGAAGTGAAAACTAGAAGGCGATTTTATCGATTTGGGGTCAGATATCTGCAATGTTCAGAGCAAATTATTTGACAACGGCAAATCCGCTAAACCAGTATCAAATGCTTTCTCTGCCGCTTCACCTACTGCCATCTCCACTCTCACTACTGCCACTGTTGTTGGTACAAATGCTTCTCAGTCCCCCGTTGCTGTTTCAGTTTTTGCTGATAATGAGTACGGCTTATCTCGCTCTTGCTGCTTTAGCTGCAGCTGCTGCCAATTCTGTTAAAATAGCTTACACATATACTGAGGCTGCATCAGTATCGAATGCATTCTCTGCTGCATCTACTGCCAGCTCCACTCTCAGCACTGCCGCTGTTGCTGGTACAAGAGTCCAATGTTGTTGGTTTTGTTTTTGCTGATAATGTGAGTATGGATTATCAGCTCTCGCTGTTTTACCTGTAGCCGTTACCAACGCTGTTAAAATTACCAATACGTATGCTTAGGCTGTCGTTAAGCCTGATCGCATCAAAAATGCTGTTAATGCTGCTCAATCTGCTGACTTTGATGATACCGTAGGAGATTCTGTTAAGCCGAACTACTTTGAAATCAACAGTGAGCACTAGGAACTAAACATCTCCGGCTGCTTCAACTGTTGTTGGTGTTAATACCAATTGTGATCTCGATGTCGTCATATCCATGAAATGGATTCATTTGTTCAAGAACTCTTTTACTGAGGAATATATTATATCTTTCGTTATTAAACATGCTAATGTTATTTTATGTAAACTTATTAAAAATTATTCTAATATTAATGATCTTAGGCTAATTCCTTGAGATCATCATTAGAATGACTATCTGGTGTTTCTTGCACTTTTTTTTCGATGTCTTCCACATTTACCTCATCTAAATTGATTTGTTTTGCTAATTGCACTATTTCATCCATATCGACAGTGCCCAATGACTTCGTTTTTGCATAAATCTAACCAAATGTCTTTCAAACTCCTTTCAAAGATCTATTATTTCATTCCAAGAATGGTTTTTGGTTTCTACAGCATGCATATTATAGTTTTACCAAAATTCTCTTGTTGTTTCCTTCTATTTTCCGTCGATTTTTTTAAACATCAAACATTTTAGGAAATCCCCTGTTTGAAACAAAAGAGCCTTAAACCGAAATAGCGTTAAGCGGTGTCTTGCAATATATCAAATCCCTTTAAATAAAATTCTTTTAGATGAACAGTAGTTTCTTCTCTAAAAGGAGCACAATAGCTTTATTCTTTTTGAAGTTCATTAAGATATTTTAAGATATCATATTTGCAGATATATGCAGGATAAATCCAAACGGAAGTTCGAAAATATTTATATTAGGACTGTATAGGTGCGTCAGGAAGTATTGAGCCGATTTTTTTCCATTTTTGACAAAAGATTCTCTCCATATTTCAATAAAACGAGTATATCTCACAGATCAACCGCTATACTCGGTAAAAGTCTGCCATAGGTACTGGCGTCCACAAATGCGGTAAATGGCGCCTCCGATTTCTATGCTGTGAAATTAAAAAATCAAATGGAATTTAAAATTGTTAGACAAAGTAGGCATGGTTGTAGTCCGAGTTCACCTATTTTGACTGCAAAATACAAATGTCAAAGTTATGTTGTGCACAAAATATGATTGAAATTGGTCGAGAGGCGATGTCAGGCTCCCACGGGTCAAATTTGATGTTGTTGTTGTAGCGGCAGAATTCTGCTGAGTTGACAGTCCTTGACCGGATAAAATCCGGGTCCGTTCCGGTTACGTAGACCCGACTGTCGTGGGAACGGGGTCAAATTTGATCACACAGTATTTTATAAAGCTAAGACAGGTATTGACACGGTTTTATTCAAAGAACATTATTATCCGGAAAATGTCATCTGAATTGTATTAAGGTTTCTCATATATTGGCCGAATTCTATTACATGGGAAGTAGTCGTGATAATAACAAGCATTCGCCCATTGTCGAACTGTGAACTAAAAATGTTAACCACAATATATATTTAAATTTCTTATACAAATGGCAACACCATGTCAGTAAGTCAGCTGCTCCTAGCTTACAAGAAATAAAATACAATAAAAATAATTTTTAAATTCACTAACTATTTCAGCTACAGTGTATTTCGTTTCATTAATTTCAATTTCGCAGATAGCGTGGGTGTGCAAGTGGCCGACAGTATAACGTCGCTAAAATGTGTATAAATACGGTGTCCGCTCTTCAATTCCAAACGAACAGCCTTGTCGTTAGCCCAACTTGAGCGAAAATTTCATTTCTCCGGGATTTCCGATAAAATTATCCAATACCAATACGCCTCTTCACATCTTGACGTCAAAGCTGCCGATCAAGAGACCTTGGATGATAAAAAATACTCGTAATTTCCTCACCATCTCAGGAGCCCCGAAAACACTGTTCTACGCACTAAGTGGTTCAGCAGACATCCGATGGCAATGCAATCTATACCTACATCTTAAGCAGACATGAATCTCGATAAACTCGCAGACAAAATACACGTTTCGGCAATAAAGCGAAACGACGCCGATCGCCTGGCCCATTTCAGGGAAACCTATCGTTGGACCGTTAGTGGCAGTTAATGGTTTCTCACTCGAATCTATTCGTAACAAATCACCCCACCAAAATCCAATTTCTAGTCGATACTGGCGCTGATCTCTGTACTTTTCTCGCACCTTGGTCGCCGGAACGAGTTCAACTATAATCTCAAAGAAGCAAACGTGTTTACAAATAATACGCTATCATTAAACCTTGGCCCCAAACGAAATTTTATATGGCGCTTCGTAGTGGCCGACATAACGAAACCTCTAATTGGCGCAGATTTTTGGCACATATCGGCATCTTACTCGACTGCAAGCAGCCTTATCGACTCGATAACTGGACTTAAAATTGCATTTATGTCGCAGATACGCTAAAAGAATTCCCCAACTTGACAAAGCCCAAAGAAATCTGTCAGCCAACAAAACATACGACG